AGAGCAGAGGCTTTGGGGTGGCTTTAAGAGAGTGGTAAAACTGCTCTGCTCCTTTTTATTTCTTTTTTTTTTTTTTTTCCCCTACTTCTAAGGATTCCTCAGTAACTTTCTCCAGTGAACCTACAAACTGGGATCTCAGCCACCGTTCCGAGGGTGCCAACGTGCCAGGTCTAAAATAACCTGGGAAGGTTTCATGTTACATATTGCCCTGCAGGAACCATGTTTCTCCAGCAGTCTGGACTTTATCTAAGAACAAACAAAATAGGGGAAAAAAAAGAAAAGAAAAGAAAAGAAACTTTTCCTTTCCCTCCCTCCTGCCCTCCCCCCCCCTCCGCCCTTGATTGCATCGAGATGCCTTACCAGCGCAGGAGTTCATCCGCTGCATCCAGGGGTAAACAGGGCTCGTGTACTTCCGGTCGGTACCTTCGTCATTTATAATTTTGGCTTGGCCGCCGCTGGATTTGTACTGTTGATCGGGAGAAAAGTGCAGGTAGTCCCCGGGCCCTCTCTGTTTGCCACTGCCGGAGGGAGAGGCGCTACTAATGTCCTTGTCCGAATAAAAACAAGAGGCTCCGTACTCATAGGAAGCCCGATTGCAAGCAATGACGGTGTTGGACTGTTGGTAGAAACAGGGTGAGGTGTAAGTCTTGTCCTGCAGGCTGCTTGCCCCGTACGAAGCCGGAAAATGCCTGAGAGCATCATAGCCCGCCGGGTACAGGGGGATCTGGCCGAGGAAGGAGTCCTGGCCCCCGGGCAGGCTCCCCGGGAAAGTGGGATTCACGAAATAGGAACTCATTTGCTCTCCCCCTCTCTCGGACCGTGATTTGTTGTGTATTAGTACATCTGGCGATAACTATTAGGAGTCATCGAAGTGGTTTGTTTCTGGATGGCCGAGCGCCAAAAGCGACAGCAGAAAATAGGAGCAGCTGACGGCGGGGCGGCCAATGGGAACGCGCGCGGCGCCCGCTCCCCCGGGGCCGCCGCCACCGCGCCGCCAACTTACCGGCAGCCCCGGCCCCACCCCCCCACCCCCCCACGCACCGCAGCCGAACCCCCCGCCGGTC